ACATGGCTAACAATATGTTGTGATGGTGAAAGCTTGGGCTCAGGAGCCACACTGCAGATTAATAATTCTTCTACTTACAGCTGTGTGACAATGGGTAAGTTATTTACCTTCTCTGTGCCTTGATTTTCCTAGCTGTAAAACTGGATTGGTGCTATAGAACCAACTCATAGAATGAGAGGATTGGTAGACAGTAAGAAACAGTTTTTTTCTGTTGGAAGGAAAGGAAGGAGTTGGAAACTTAGTTGGATGTTAGATTTCTGGACTAGAGAACTATTTAGAAAAAAAGTATTTTAAAAGACAGTGGTCCAATCTCACTAAACAATTTGACATAATTTTGTATGTAGGTTTAACTTAAGCAGTGTTGTTATATACTTATATTCTGAAATATGTGCTTATATACGATTGTAATAGCTTTGCTAATAGAAACATTTTAGAAATATAATGAAAAACAGGAGCATTTTTTTAATTTTAATTTTTAAACAAAAATAAATTAACAACAACAACACAAAAAGCAGGACTACTTTTAAGTCTGTCTTCCATACAAGCAGCTTCTTTGATTGCTGTATGCCGTCATGGACCTCTCCTTCCTCTTGGTGTTGTGTGTGTCTTGGTACCCCACCTTGGTTTGTAATTCTCGGGACTTGTTTTATTCTTCAGCCTGAGTTGAGGACAGTTAGGAAGAGATTATAACTAAATCTATATATATGTCTTAGCTTCAGTCTACTGTATCCTTTTAAAAATGGCTGCAGAATAGTCTATTGAATGAATGTACCATAATTTATTTCATAACCAGTCCTTTTTTGTTAGTTAGGGAGCAGTATCTTTTTTCCTGCTTTATTGCCAACTATAGTAGGTAATATTCTTTGGTTGTGCATAACAGAAACCAAACCAGAGCAGCTTAAACAAACAGAAGAAGTAGAGGAAGCATCCTAGAACTCAGGAGTCAGGAATCAGGAGTGTGGGTGAATCCTGGGAAAAGACTAGAACTAAGGTATAAATGACCAACAATCCACGAAGGGTCTGTTTCTCTCCATGTTTTGCTTTGTTTAATATCTTCCACCCCTTCACTCTCCTTTCCCTACCCCACTTTGATTTTCTTTACATTTTCATCCTGGTGATATAGCATGTGCCTGCCCTGAAGTTTCTGAGTTCTATTTCAGCCACGTGGGAGCCTCTGACCCTCAGTTGCAGTTCCTGGTGGAAACACTGGGTGGTGATGGGGAGCCTCCGTGGTGCTTATGTCATCAACCCTGTCTGGTCTGCATGCGTTGTCAGGGCCTTGATCCTTTCAGGAGGAATGAGTTCTTGAAGAGGGGTGGGTTGAAGGTAGAGTGCTTTAAGCTAGATAGAGTTTTTAGAAGGTATCTACCACACAAATAGTGCTGCAGTGAGTGAACAGCTTGGTAAATCTGCTCATTTGTATTAGCATTCCTTTGGGGTGATTTCCTAGGATTTTAGTAACTAATCAAAATCTTACATATTCAAAGTTTTGCTATTTCAATATTAAAGTTGTCCCAAAAGTATGTCCCAGTTTACACTCCTCTTGTCAGGATGGATGTGTTTCTCTTCACCCACCAAAGCTGGTCCTGTCAGCCTTTTTGTTTTTGCCAGACTGATAATCAAAAAAACCTCATTGCTATTTTAATTTCCTCTTAGTTTCTGGACAACAAGAGCATCTTTTATGATGTTTCTTGCTCAGTTTTATTTCTTCTGTTAATTTCTTATTCAAATGTTTTTGGCCATTTGTAGAATTGGGCTCTGTGTAAACCCTTCATAAATTAGGGACATTATCCCTTTATATGACATGTATTATTGTCTTCATTTGTCTTCTTTCTAGTAATAAATATGCTTGACCTTAAGATGGTTTTCATTTTTATTCATTCATATTCTTTTGTGTGTTCTGGAATTTTGTGTCATGCTTAGAGAATCCTTTACTCTATGATCGTATAAACATTCTCCCGTTGTATTCTGGTATTTTATTGATTCAAACCTATTTTATTGAAGTTTATGCTCCATGTTGAATTTACTTTGGTTTTGGACTAGTTTCTTTTTTTGATGGCCACTTGACTCATTCTTTCAATAGCATTTCTGCAGTAATTTGCAGAGTTCATTTTATTAACTATTAAATGCCTATAGTTGCATCTAGTTATGTTGTCTGTTTCCTTCTGTTGATCTGCTGTTCTCTTGCATGTACTTCCTGTTATAACTACTGTGGGTTTGCAGATCTTATGAAAGTGGAAAGGCTGACTTGGGAAGGGCATGTATATGTTCACAGAGTCTGTGGTTCTACATGTAGTATTACATAAGTCAATTCTAAAAAGCCAATGATCTTTCAAGGTAGTATTTTATACTCTAGAGAATCAAAAGACAACTGAAGATTTTATTTTTTAATGTTTTTATTGAAGTGTAAGTTGATTTACAGTGTTGTGTTCATTTCTGGTACACAGCAAAGTGATTCAATTATACATATATTGTGTCTGTTCTTTTGCATGTTCTTTTCCATTATGCTTTATCACAGGATAGTTAATATAGTTATCCATGCTATACAGTAGGACCTTGTTGTTCATTTTATATATAGCAGTGTGTATGTGCTAATTCTGAACTCCTAATTTATCCCTTCCCTACCCCCATGCCCTTTGGTACCATAAGTTTGTTTTCTATGTCTGTGAGTCTGTTTCTGTTTTATAAATAAGTTTATTTGTATCATTTTAAATTCCACATATAAGTGGTGTCATATATTTGTTGTTCTCCTTCTGACTTCATGGTAATCTTTGGTCCATTTATGTTGTGTAAATAGCATTATTTCGTTCTTTTTTGTGGCTGAGTACTATTCCAGTGTGTGTGTGTGTGACTGTATATCACATCATCTTTATCCATTCATCTGTCAGTGGACATTTAGGTTGCTGCTATGTCTCGTCTGCTGTAAATAGTGCTGCCATGAGCATTGGGGTGCATGTATCTTTTCAGATTTTTCTCCAGATAAATGCTCAAGAGATGGAGTTTTGATCATATGGTAGCTCTATTTTTGTTTTTTAAAAGAACTCTATATTGTCTTCCATAGTGGCTTCACCAATTTGCATTTCCATGAAGAGTGTAGGAGGTTCCCTTTTCTCTTCACCCTCTCCAGCATTAATTATTTGTAGACTTTTTAATGATGGTTGTTCTGACTGGTGTGAGGTGATATTTAGTTGTTTTTTAATTTTTAATTGAAGGATAATTGCTTTACAATATTGGTTTCTGCCATACATCAACATGAATCAGCCATAGATATACATATGATAATGAGAGTGACAAGTTCTTTTATGCTCTGATAACTTTTCTTTGGTTCTCAGTAGGGAAAACTTCTCAGTTGAGACGTTTGTTTCTTTACACTCTAGTATGCTCATTGCATGCATTCATCTCCCTGTACTATCTGTTAGTTAAATAGTCATAACTAAAAATAGATTCAGAAAATCCAGTCTAGAGCAGTTTTGAATAAACTCAGGTGTTCACTAACAAGTCAGTGCTAAGTACTTCTGAATTTCTCTCAAGTGGCTCATGGAGTAAAAATAAATAAAAACACATACTATACTTTCTATCATTACTATATTTTCTTTACAGCATGTAAGTCAAATAAAATGACTTTTATCTTTGTAATAGTGTTGTTTTCATTGTCTTGTTGCCATAGTTTTTAAAAATTTATTTAATATGCATCAGACTTTTTATACTTGCATATTTCTTTATACTTGCATGTTTTTTTTAATATCAGGTACCTTGTACTGTGTTGTTTTTTTTTTAAGCTACTTATTTTTCAGCTTAATTTAGCTTCATTTACATAGCTAAAACATTTAATCACCATGAATTTCTAATTTGCCATTTCCTCTCCTTTCCTTAAACTCAGGAAGTGCCACCCATGATGGTACTTAGTAGGCAGTTTGGAGTTGATACTGTGAAATAACATGTGCCCTCTCTTGGGTCTTTGAGAAATTATAAGACATGTCTTGATCATTAGGAACTTAATTTTAAAATATTTCTTATAACTCTTTGCATTATAACATATGAATAGAAGACTTAGAAAATAGGCTGTGAAGACTGATTTCTTAATACATATTTAATCTTCCTGAGTTGTGGATTTTATAAATAGTACACTTAAGTAATTTTGGCTGAATTTTAAAAGACATATTTTCTTGATAAAATAAGTATAATATTTCCCTTGTCTGTGGAAGGACTAGATAATCTCCTTTTCCCATTCTGAAGTGTCCTGATTTGGATGGTAAAGTATAAGGGTAGGTCACCTATAATCAATCCATAACAAGATCAAATTGTTTTCAAAATTCAGTTATCAGTAAATCTTTGTCATATTTTTCTTCCTGTGGCGAGTGCAAGTCCTACAAATGACTTCATTTCCCTTCCAGCTTCATCTGATAGGAAGATCAGAAATACCATGCAGCACAGTTTTAATTACTCTGCAGAACCATTGGATCGGAATGCCTATAGCCCAGATAGATTCTGCTTCTGACTTTGTTCATTCTGTCTGTCTCCTCTGCATGTATCCTCAGTGCCCCCTGAAACACTAGAAAAGCTGTGGGTACAACAAATAAACACAGGAATTAATGATGACTCAGAACAGAAAAGGACTAGTTAATCTCCATGTGCAACTAAAGTATGAAGTCTCTTACTTACAGACCTGCCTGTGTGTTTATTGATAGTTAATGAAGAGCACTTAGGTATTATTTCACTTATTACATCATATTTAGGAACTTTGATTTAAAATTTTTAAGTTTGGTAACTGCATTGTGGTTGTCAGCATTTAGAAGTATGTTTTAATGGTAATGAAAGGTTACCATTCATATTAAATGTCATATTGCAGATACATAATGCATTTGATGATCTGCTCTTATTGTTCTGAATATGTTTAGATAGAGTAAGATAGTTAGATATGTGCCCAGGTTTGTGTTTTGTTCTACTCTGGGATCATAATTTGGGGGGTTGAAAATTTCTGTTATTTTTTTCTTTCGAAGGATTGCCTTGAAAAGTTCTGAACTGCTTTACATGTATGGTGCCCTGGACTCACGGGTTAGAGCCTTAGCGTTCAGTGTCCGATGCTGGGCTCGAGCACATTCGTTAACGAGTAGTATTCCTGGTGCTTGGATTACAAATTTCTCCCTCACCATGATGGTCATCTTTTTTCTCCAGAGGAGATCACCTCCTATTCTTCCAACACTAGACTACCTAAAAACCCTTGCAGGTGAGACTCAAAGCATCTGTTTTCTCTCTAACCGTTTGAATGGATAGCATTACCATGTGTTACCAAAGCCATGTGTTTGTTTGTTTATTGTTCAGTTGCTCAGTCAGGTAACTCTTTGCAACCCCATGGACTGCAGCATACCAGGCCTCCCTGTCCTTCACTATGTACTGGAGTTTTCTCAAACTGTTTTCCATTGAATTGATGATGCCATCCAACCATCTCATCCTCTGTCTCCTCCTTCTCCTCCTGCCTCAGTCTTTCCCAGCATCAGGGTCTTTTCCAGTGAGTCGGCTCTTTGCATCAAGTGGCCAAAGTATTGGAGCTTCAGCATCAGTCCTTCCAATGAATATTCAGGGTTGACTTCTGTTAGGATTGATCTTGCTGTCCAAGGGACTCTCCAGAGTCTTCTCTAGCACCGCAGTTCAAAAGCATCAGTTTTTGGACACTCTGTTTGTTTAAGAGTCATGTATTTTCAGTGTTGTGACTCTGTTAATAAAATCTAAAAGCTGTTAATTTTCTTAATGTCCACCAGGGGTCATGAGAGCTGATGATTTGTGAAGCTGAAGCCTTTAAAATTCTGTCTTGCTATGTCAGTTGGCCACATTGTTTACCATCTCCTGAGCCAGTTGGAGCCTCTCCTGGCTTGACCAAGTTTGGAATGACCTTGGAGAAAAATATATCCCAGATGCAGCTTCTGATTGGAGCCCAGCTTACAAATGGCTTTCCAAGTTTGAAGCTATTTCCAGATTTCTCTTAGAAATGCCAAAAACCGTTTCATGGTGTTTCAAGGTCCTAAATTTTTTTTTCTTTGGTTGAAAGTTTATAGGCAATTTTAAGTAAATGGTTTTAGAATTAGTATAGTATTTAATTTGTGTTTTAAATAAATTGAAATTTTGATAGGCTGCTGGAGGAGATACTAAAGTATTACAGTCTTAAATTATGAAAGGAAGATAATTCAGGGATTTACTCAGAAAATGTATATGCACTCCATCTTCTGCCCCTCCTATATATTGCTGCCAGATAGTTCTTTTAAAGTACACTCCTAAAGTGGCTCTGTTTAAAGGGATTTTAAAAGGATTTTATTCCCTAGAGAATAAACCTCAGGCAGTTGGCTTAGCTTTGTATTATATAGGATCTTCACCTGTAACTATTTTTCCAGCCTCTTCTCCCACTGTTTCTCTTCATGTATTCCCACATTTCAGCCAATAACATGTTCATAACATTTCCCCTTAGCTCCTTTTTTAATGATATTTGTTTTTCATCCTGGAACATGCCTTTTCTTCTCTATAAATTCTTTTAAGTTCACTTCCATGACACTTTTCTTATTATTCAAATTAGAAGTAATCTCTTCTTTCCTGCAAATACTAAGTGTTGGTACCACTTGAAAGTAAGCTTTAGAAAAGCTCCGTGTGGTAGGTTATGGAAAGTAGGAAGTTTAGGGGGAGGTAGAATGGTGGGCCTGTATCTCACCTTTGAGGTCCATGCCTGTGTTCATCTCCTCCTTCGGTGTCATTCATTCACTCTGGATCTATTGGCTACAAACTATGTGTCAGGTGTGGTTTTTGGTGCAGTGGTTTATATAGATGATGTTCTCAGGCAACGCTTAAATCTAGTAAAGAGATAAGATGCACACAAACAGAAAACCTGGGTAGATCTCACCTGTTAGCAGCCTGGAAAGATCACTTCCTGTTCAGTCCTGCTGTATGCGCTGATGCTTAAGACTACTTTCCTAGAAACTATTTGGGGGAGTATCATGGATTTGGGAGTTCAGAAGCAAAGAAAGAATAGAAACTGAAAAAAGGAGGCTGCTTTGAAGCAGATTTATGTTAGTGGCAGACCATCACACCTTGGTGGTTCTCTTCCACCCCTGCCGCTGTCAGGCCCTTCGCATCCCTGCCTGGGGACATTTGCACTGCTTTTCCCTTCCCACTGCTCTGTTCTTAACTAACAGTGATTTTCAGAAATTCACATCTAACTGTAGTATTCACTCTCCTGAAATCCTTTCAGTAATTTTCCTATTACCTTTTAAAATTTCCACTAATTGTTTTAGAAAAAGAATATGATTTGTGAACAAATTTAAAATGACGTGTTGAGTTTTTATTCCAAATCTATTTTAAGCCAAATATAAGTTTATTCACATTCTATGGTGTCAAAACATTCCTTTGATAGGAATTCTTTTATTTTCTACTTAAAAATACCAAATTGGTTGTTTAACATTTTTCATGCTCATTCTTAAACATGGTCAGAGAAATCAGGCCATTTCAGTTGCCTTTTTCCACATAGCAAATTATAGGTGTAAATTACTAATAAATGTAAAAGTGAACTTGATATAGTTGTTGCTACTTTTTGATCATTGATTTTTGAACTTCTAGTGAAATCTTGAACTTGTTGTGGAATACTTTTTCATAAGTAAATGTGTGTATGAAGGATGTGGTAAAGATAATTTAGAAGAATGTATCTAAATTTTTTTTTTCCTACTCATTTATGTATTCTTCAAAATCCATGCTTTTTATACTTTCTGATTTTAACCAGGGGTCCCAGACTGATGTATCTTCAACAGTATATGGCTAAGAATAAAAACAGTGTTAAACTGAAATTATCACCATCGTGGAAACTCCGTGGTTCATCAGCTGAGGGGCTTGAGTCTTGTTACAGTCATTTTCTTCTAAACTGTGCCTCTCGTTTGATATTCAGATAGAGCCTATCAATTTGTATTGTTTCAAAAAGAAGAAAGTAAAAGAGTAAGCTTGCTTGATTGCCTGCTAGTTTATTAATAGAAGGCAGTGTCAGTTTGTGGAACACCTGTCAGCACTTCTAGGACTTTGTCATCCACTGTTTGAAATCTGGAAGTTGAAGTCCAGCCTTCTAGCCTTGCGTTTAGGGTCCCTCACGATCTTTGTCTTCCTCCTCTTCTTGTACCTTCTCTCCTCTTCGCAGTTCAGGAGCTGCAGTTCTCCATGCTCCGCACAGATCCTAGAGCCTCTGCACTTCTGCATATCTTGTGCCTTCGCCTACAGTGGCTTCTTCTCCTGCCTTCTCTTTTTACCCGGAGAAACCCATCCCGATCAAGCCAGGGAAGAGAAAAGGCAAACCCAGTCCAGAATCTGACTTGTTAAGTCTTTCCTGGCTTCCTCTCTCCTCCCTTCCTTCTAGGAGGTGGTGCCCTGTTGCCTTCCTAGCACCTGGAACACACCTGTATTATGACAGCTATTAGATTGTTGTTCTTTGATCTGGCTGCCTTGACCAAGCATTTCTAGGTCAGGCTGTCTGCTTTGTCTGCATTTTCCACTCCTGGCTTAGAGGAGTTCAGTAAATAGATTCAGATGATTGGATGAATATTTTAAAGTTGAAGGCTGTTTGTACTGAGCACGATGGCAGCTTTCATATTTTGGTTTTTCTTGAAGTTTCGTTTCTTCATGTTCTCTTCCAGTCTCTACTGCTTTACCCCATGTGTCTCTTTTATTTTCTTGTGTTTTCTGTCTTGTTTTGGCTTTGGTCCCTTTGTAATATTTACTTCTGTGCTTAATGCTTTTAATCCAGCATCTTCCTCTTATAATCAGTCATTTGATAAAAGTTCTTTTGTTTAGGACTCCTGTTTTTCTTTCCTATGATGAATTAAATGTTTCAAGAAGAAATGAATGAGTGATACTTTCAGCAAGTTTGATGCAGAGACCCCAACATAGAAGAGAGCTTTAGTTGCTCATTCTCCGTGACCCAGTGACAATTCATTGAGTTCCAGGCACTTGGCTGAAATTTTTTTTGCATCATCTAAGTTTCCTATGTTAGAACATGCTCTTTCAGTCTTTTTTTCTGGAAGAAAGGGCCTGGCTTCTAACATGCTGAAACTTTGGCATTTATTACACCATTTATTGTGTTTAGAACAGTTTTCCCACCCTCAAACATGTCTTGCATCTCCCAGAATAGAGATTCTTTCTTGTACTGTCTCCAGGGTAAACCTGACATTTTCTGTCAGGAAGAGACTTGGGGGTCTCACTGCTCTAAGCATCAGGCATCCAGGCTGGGTCCTTCTGGTCAGATCTGGCACTTCAGCTGCCAAGCTGTTGGGGGCTCTGCCTGAATGTCTGGCTTCTTCTTGGCTTTCTTTACTGCTGGTTTAGGACCCAGTGTTCTCAGATCTCTTTCAGTCATTGCTGCTTGTCCATCAGTTCTTCAACGTAAAATTTTTGGTTGCTCTTGTCTTTCCTATTCTCCATCTTTAAGATTTTATGTCATTTTACTCTCATTTCAGTAATGCTTTGGGGTGAAGGTAGATGCTGAGTTTATATCACCATGTTTACCCCAGAGCGTGTGCTCTGAAACAACATGTAGGTGCCACCCAGAGGAGTTGAGTGTCACTGGCATGTGTGGCCTGGTGGGAGGGGTAATAGGACTTGACCTTGTCTGTAGATCACCAGTGTTTCATACAATACTTTTAAGAAGTAATTTCCATAGAAATGAGCAGAGAGAAATAGGGTGTCATAGGAGCTTCCCAGGTGGTGGGGCGATAAGGAATCCACCTGCCAGTGCAGAAGACGTGCCTGATTTGGGGAGATCCCCTAGGGTAGGAAAGGGCAGCCCTCTCCAGTGTTCTTCCCGGGAAATCCCGTGGACAGAGGAGCATGGTGGGCTACAGTCCATGGGGTCGCAAAGAGTTGGACATGACAGAGCGACTGAGCATGCACACATACAACAGGGTGTCATATGTTTGAATAGGTTGAGAATGATGTCTCTACGGCAGCACGGTTCAGTAGAGCTTCCTGTCATCACGTTGTCCATTTGGCAGCCACTTGTTACCTGTGGCTAGTTCAGTTCAGTTGCTCAGTCATGGCTGACTCTTTGCGACCCCATGAATCGCGGCACGCCAGGCCTCCCTGTCCATTACCAACTCCGAGTTTACCCAAACTCATGTCCATCGACTCAGTGATGCCATCCAGCCACCTCATCCTCTGTCATCCCCTTCTCCTCCTGCCCCCAATCCTTACCAGCATCAGGGTCTTTTCCAGTGAGTCAGCTCTTCGCATGAGGTGGCCAAAGTATTGAAGTTTCAGCTTCAGTAGGCACTTGAAATATAACCATATATTAGTGTGACTAAGGAACTGAATTTTTATTTTAATGGCTGTCATTTATATATTAGCTTAATAGCAGAAAAACAGGAGTGAGAGTAAAAAGGGAGAAGACTTAACAGTGGGGTTGTTTCCTGGGTTTGAATGCCTTAGGGGTTTTGAAAAAACAAAACTGGCCCTGTCTTAAATCAGGGGATCGTTTTTTTCCTTCAAGTTTTACTACTTTCTGTTAAAAACTTTTTCTGGTGAAGACCAACAGTTATAGACACAGTCTGTTTTTCATCACTGTACATTCCTAGAAGTATTCAGTACTTTAATGTAGATATACTTTAATGTGGATTTACTTTTTTGTTGGAAATATATTCCTGGAAAAAAGAAAAATAAGACACAGCAGCTAAAAGAGCATCAGTATATATGACTGGCCTGCTGATAATTTGAAATAATAAGGCATGTGCCTGGGTCCCAGGACAAATACATCTAAATGGACCTGTATATAAATTCTTCAGTTGTATAACGGTGCACATAAAATTTGCTGTTAAAATGAGTAACAATTAGTTTTAGTATTTAGAATCAGTGTTAGAGTCTGGAACGATTTTTGAGTACTTAAGTCAGTAACCAGGGTTTTAACCAAAAAAAAAAAAAACAAAAACCAAAACCACACCAAAAAAAGGGAGGCAGTAGTTTGAAGAAACCTTGTTTTATCTCTTTCTGAATTTCTCTCTGGCTATTATAATCATTCAAAGTCAAATATCAGCGAACATTAGATTCTTGGTTATGTGCCTGCTGTATGCTGGACACTGTTGTTGTGGACTGGCCAGTAGGAAGAGGGAAGGTCATCACTGCCTTGGACTGGACAGTGGTCTCTCTAGTCCCAGACTGGGGTCATGGAGTAGATAGCATGCTTGCAGCCATGGTGTGGTCAGGTGCTTGCTGATGGAGCACAGAACAAAAGGCTGGGCGCCCCCTTCCGGTTAGGAAAGGAGAAAGCCCTTTTAGTGGCGGTTGATTAGGCTTCTAAGAGTGGGAGTTTGTTTGCCTGCATGTTGTACAGTGGAAGGTGGATTAGAATGGATGAAGGATTTCATGGTGGGTGTATATTTATCCGTAACTAGGGAAACGATTCCCTCTAAAGATGTAAATGCTGTTGGGAAAGGTGAATTGTGTGAGTCTGCTGTGCTGTTAAATGAGTCATGCTGAATCCCAGTCACTGCAGAGGCCTGCCTCTCTGAAATTACCAGAAGTTTTTCAGGTCTCTTAGAACATTCAGTTTGTATGTGTCTTGGATGAGTTGTTGAAAGTAAATGCACAAAAGGATAATAAGACTGAAAATGGAGATCTAAATTAAATATAATTGATCAAAGGTAGTACCAGGATTTAAGTGGGTGAAAGATGGGAATGGTCTACATTTTCATTTATTACTAGAAAACTGATGACCTCAGATGATAGATTACGAATCATTGAGTGTTGATGGACAGTCTGTTCACCAAAGTTCATGTAAGGTTAATTTTACTGTAACATAATTGCTCTCAAATCCTTTTTAATGGAGTTTTAATCCTGCTATATATACTATATATAAAAAACCCTGACCAAGAATAGGACATGTTAATCTATAGCTTTGACTTGTGTGATTATAAATTTCTGAAGTAGGGAATATCTTTGAAACAGAATGTGAAATATTTTCCATTTCTGTTTATTTAAGATGCAGAAGATAAGTGTATAATAGAAGGCTACAACTGTACATTTGTTCGTGACTTGAATAGAATTAAACCTTCAGGAAACACAGAAACACTAGGTAGGTGTTTTCCTTTTTCTTGTTCCTTTTTGGACTGAAATAGACTTTCTTATTATCTTCCATGTTTTATTTTCTTACAGAATTACTACTGAAAGAATTTTTTGAGTATTTTGGAAATTTCGCATTCAATAAAAATTCCATTAATATTCGACAGGTAAGTACTATTTAATGTTTGGTTATTAGGTATATGGTCTTCTACTGTACTAATATTTAATGAGTGTAGTTTTCAAAGCATTCATTGTCATTGCATGTCAACTCTATGATGATAGAGAGTAATAAAAAAATTGACACCTAGTGGAGCTACATGACTTGGGCTAAGATATCATCTAGTAGACCAGTTCTTTTCAGCATCTGTCTTTGTCAGTTTGCCATGATATCTTTGTCATCACCTACTACTAAGACTGTATCCCTCAAAATATGGAACATATTCTAAAAAGTTTTTTAGAAAGCATAATTTCATATACACTTCTCTTTAAACCAGATTGAGTTTCTGTGGAAGAAATGGAATACCTAGTCCCAAAGATAGATTTTAATGATTCCCTCAGTTTGAGCTCTTAGGGTTTAATTTACTTAGGCAAGTGAATTTATGATTTTGGTTCATCTGAGTAGGTGGAATGACAGACATTTTCCATAAAAGAAGAGCCATCGGAGCAAACTCCAAGCAGAATCTGTTTACAAGTGGAGGATACGTGAGATGGCCTCCAGGTTTATTCTGTTTAGCATGTGGATATTTGGTTACAGCCCATGTAAGACTGGCTTTATAAAACACATACTCAGATATTCTTTTTTGTTGTTTTTCAACACTCCTTTTTTCATCCTTCCTGACCCTTATCCTGTTCATGGAGACTTTGCTTAAAAAAGAAAAAAAGAGAGGAAAAGTGTGGGATAGAGAGGGTAAGAGACACAGAGCTCTGGAATGCAGTCTAGAAGAAAAAGGTCATAGAACACAGGAAGTGCTTTCCCCTATATATACCCTCACTACTCAGGGCTCAGAGATAATGATAGGGCAGAACCCCTGCTGGACAGTGGTTTGAGAGGCATTAGGGAATTAACAGGGGCTGCTCACATTGGAGACTCCTGACTTGGTTTTGTAGTATTTATGTATGTGATATCATTTGAAAGAGGAAAAGATTATATAGATTAGTGGATCACTGATGTTCATGAGTTAGCTCTGGCTTTTCTTTTTAATTCTATGAGATATCTTACCTGGCAGAGCCTTATTTAAGTCGAATCTTTAGGAATGTACATAGGAAGCTTTTAATGTTTTAAAATACGTAATGAATAATCCTTTGTTCCTTCTCTTCCTTTCTCATTTCATAGTTGTGAAACATTAATTATTATATTTAATTTAAGGCTTCTAACTCTGTGTGCTTCTATTTTGTGTGTAATAGGTATGTTTTTAGGAAGTCCCCAAAATAACTATCTTCTGCCATTTTTCTTTTCCATATTTTTTTTCCTTCCCAGCTCTATTCTGTTAGATAAACGTTATGGTAAAAATACTTTTATTGGTTGACTTAGTCCAGATACCTCTCATCGGAGCAGTGACATCATCATCCATAGCTCATAAACCTAATTTATTTTTCTCTAAAGAGCACTCATAAAACTACAGTGGAAAAAGCCAGTCAGAAGTACACACACATACAGTAACACATAACATGCATACATACCGAGCTCCCTTGGGGAAGGGATCCTTTACTCTGTAAAGTTAGTGCTGGTGTTTTATGTGCTTTTGACATTTTATTAAACCAAACAGTTTTTATATCTGAGCCCTTAATATATTCATACATCTTTTTCTTCCCGGTAACGATCTACAGGGAAAGGAACAGAACAAACCAGAATCTTCTCCGCTGCACATTCAGAATCCTTTTGAAACTTCTCTCAACGTTAGCAAAAATGTAAGTCAAAGCCAACTGCAAAAATTTGTGGATCTGGCCAGAGAAAGTGCCTGGATTTTACATCAGGAAGGTAAAGACCGCCCTTCGCCATCAAGTAATCAGCCTTGGGGGTTGGCAGCCCTGCTGCTACCTTCTGTAGCAAATAATGTGTCTCTTTCCAAGAAGAAAAAGAAGCCTGCAAGTGAAAGAATTAAAAACTTGTTGGATTCCATAAAAAGTAGCGGTGCAGAAAATTCCACAGCCACTAATGGGAGAAGAGCAATTAGCACTCGGGCATGATGGCTGTTTATTTGCTTTCAGAACTGGTTTTGTCCTGTAAGCTGGTTGCTGACTGCCTGGAAGAACCGTGCGAAGCCCTGCCAAGTCATACTTCCATCCAGTGTCTCTCTTCTCATGATCTTCCTGTTGGGCCCTTTAAACTGGTCTGAGATTCTGCGATATGTTCAGTCTGAAAGCAGTGGCACCATATGAAAACGCTAGCCATAGGAACAGGTGAAAGAAGATTAGAATGTACTTCAGATAAAATATACAAAGCAGGTGGGAAAAATCAGTCTTAGAATCAAACCATTGTTGATATCCACATCAGTCTCTGGGTGTAAATCATTTAAAGGGACTTCTAGATATGTACATACGTAGGCAATGAATACAATAAAGTTGAGAAGTTTGATAGTACTCTTTCATTTTGTATTCTTCCAAATATTCTTTCACATATAAATAAAAACATATTGGTACTGATTTCCAAAAACATTTATATTTTTAAAAGAGATGAATGTAGACACTTCAGTTAGTACATTCTAGATATTCTTAGCTAAATAGATAAAAATATTGGTACTCTGTATTTAAAAATATTAATTAGTTTTTCTATCTTCAAAAATAAAATCCTTTTTCTACTAGTATGTGATATTCCAATATTCCTTCAGTGTTGTTTGAGAATTCCTTTCTCCCTGTGGGAAATAGATAATACTGAAATATAATTTCCTTTATATTCCCTGTAGAGTGACTTTCAGTTTATGAAGCAAATAGTATAGTCGGAGAATACAGACTTGAGCCAGACTGACTTGGTGGTGAACCCCTGTCTCTTTGGGTCTCGTCTGTGAAATGGGGGTACTAGCAGTGCCTCCTTTCCCAGGTGGCAGTGACGATTAGATGAGGCCCACAGGAAAGTGCAGGGTCAGGCGGGCCTGGCGTTTAGTGCCCTATTTATAATGTTGGTGCTAGACAGTCACTATTCATGCTACTCAGAACTCAGAGATTGTACTGGTTTTCAGAACAGTTTCCCATCTAAATTTTAGGTCAGAAACTATGAGCCCTGCTTGAGGTCTTTTGGGAAGCTCACTAATTGAACTGTCACAAAGCAGGTAAGTTCTGTGCCCACGTGGCTAGGCTGTTCACTTTCACATCTGAAACCAACAAGCAGGCATCAGTGTTCTATACAAGTGGCATCTGTAAACTAAAAGCCATTTTTCTTTCCTTTTTTTTTTTTGCTACGTGCAGCACAGCTTCTGGGATCTTAGTTCCCCAACCAGGGATGGAACCTGGGCCCCAGCAGTGAAACCACTATGTCCTAACCACTGGACTGCCAGGGAATTCTGTGTTTGTTTTTTTAATTAGGTTAATTATTTTGGACTGGAAATATGTACTGAGAGTTAGAAAGAGGTTTAAAAAGCATAAATATTCAAGAGTTTTTAAATGAAGTGATTTTTTTTTTTCTGTTCATAGATATTTAATTGGACATTTTTCTTTTTTAGGTTGGTGTTAAGTCTAAAATGGTCATTTAAAGCACATCAAGCATTAATGTGTATATGTGTTAGCATTTCTTTTCATTTTTATAATTTATAGAATAACTTTGACACCCAAAGTCTGTTTTACTTTTCAGAATGAGGTTTACTTACGGGATGAGTTTTAATCTACATCAGTCTTTTACATGAAATTTTCATTCTAGTAAACTGCATAAGGACTGCAAACAAGTTTATGATGTTTTCTTATAAGTTCATTGTGTGTGTGTTAGTCATTCAGTCGTGTCCAACCCTTTGTGACCCCATGGATTATAGCCTGTCAGGTTCCTCTGTCCAGGGGATTCTCCAGGCAAGAATACTGGAGTGGGTTGCCATTCTGTTCTCCAGGGACTCTTCCCAACCCAGGGATCAAACCCAGGTCTCCCGCATTGCAGGTGTATTCTTTGTTATTTGAGCTACCAGTGATGCTAATAAGTTCATCCTATCACTTTCCAAATTTTTAAAAAATCGATTTTATTAATCTTAGGGATAATCAGTAGTTATTTGTCATTGTCATTTCTTAGTTAAAACTAATGGCAGCAATAAAGGTAAAGAAAATTTTTACTTTTTTATCTATTTTTTTAGAAAATTTTTAAAAGTTTTTCTTTTCTAGCTGTTATGAGGCTTTTAGTCACTAGCTCATGAACAATGGGTTTTATTCTCTATGTGAAAATAATTTGACATGAGCTTACCTGGATCAGGTTGCTTTCAGTGTACATTCCTGATTTTATAGCCCAGTAGTCTGATTCCTGAGTTATTGCCCATTTTTAGGAAATTAGAGAATTGACCAGGCATTCTAGGAAAACGACATATGATCTGTCTCCCTCACAACCTCCAGTCATCCTAGAGAAGAGAGAATAGACATTTGAAGTAGGGCTTTCTTCATGCTCTCGTTTACTGCTTCCTTCTTTGTCTTGCCCTAGGTTGAGAACAGAATTAGCCTCTTAAGTCACTGCAGTTTCCTAGAAATTCCTTGGCCTTAAAGGACAGCTCTGTTTACTTCCCTACAGCCTCTGCTGCCGATTGTAGGAAAATGCAACCTTTACATGTGTGAGTTAGCACCTGCACGGTGAACACCTGCAGCGAAACCGACAGAGAGCCACCAAGCAGCCGTGCTGGTCCAGGGAGCAGCTCTCTAGTCCACCCTCCAGAGGCTGGTGTTCAGTTGGTGAGTAGCTGTCTTTGCTCTCAGTTCAGCCCCTTCAGGAAACACTGTAGGAGTGGAACATTCAAAATACTGTAGCAGGGAAGAAGTCTTTACTGTAGAGATGATCAGAGAAGGTTTCATCGAGTAGAACAGAGTAGGCTTTGAAGGGACCATAATCTCCGTAGACCAGAGGAGGGGCATCAGGATTATCATTCTGGGAGTAGAAGACAGTGTGAATAGGTGTCAGGGAGATGAAAGTATGTTTGGAAAAGGGGCAGTCCAGGCAGGTGGGGTGGAGTTTTTGCTGTGATGCTCAGAGTTAAGGTTTAGCGAGATTGTGAAGGACGGCCTATGGCAAGTTAGGAGGTTGAGTATATTTTAAGTGGTAAAGCATTGAAAGTTTTTGCGTATGAGAGAAATGAACGTTAATTGGTTGCTTTTTTAGGTGATTAATCTGTTTATAGTTATCAAGTGCTGCTCCTTTTTTCTTAGCGAATTTGAGTACCTTAGGTCCCATCATTAAGTTAGCTAAGATTTGGTTGTTAAAGTTTTCACACAGGTCCAGAAACTGACTCTCATACACCTAGCAAGAGTATTTCACAAGAAAGTTAAGACTAAGTGGTTTAAAGCTATCACCAGGAAATATCATCAGGTCATGACATATGATTTTATGTAAAGCCTTACTAATGAGAAATTCTTTGCAGTATATACTTGGGAAGGAATGAAAACATGACCAGAAATCACTTTTCACCTTGGGATGATGTTGGAAAATTTATTTTAAATACTTGAAAGGCTTATTTTAGTTTCCATGCTGAGCTCAATTACTTGTGGATACATACTCCAACAAGTATAAACATTACAGTGTTCTTCTGGAATTCCCGTGGAGCAACTCCCAGAAAATGTCTATTTTAGATGGAATCTTTAAACTGAAATATCTATGACACAGGATATATAAATCAACACAAATTATTTTAAAAATACACTATATTTTAAATGTGATCCCTTATGTTATCTGTGTGTATGTGTATCCCCCCATCTTTAAGTACTTGATGGAGTCAAAGCTAGACTAAAGACAGTAGATGAATACATTTAAACTTTTTTTTTTTCACAGCAAAATTTCTAATCTTTTAGGATATGGTGCCAACATATTTTTAAAGAGTATTGGAAAGATGGGACTTGAAACAGTAATTGTTACACTGTGAAGAATACGTAGTATGGTAAAATACTTAATTTGGATTAGACCAAGTCTAAATTAATGAAAAATATAAGTTATAAATTATCTTTTCTGGGTTTGTTTTGAAGTATGACACATTAAAAACTTGCTGTAATGGATGCTGTGAAATAAAATGGAGAAAATTAATGAAAGATTACAAATTAAGTCAGTGTTATATTCTGTGTCACCAAAATTCATTGACGTGTCAGGCACAGTGGAAGTCATACATTTTGAAACGTCCTATTGCACAGTTCAATTACTTGGCTTAGATTAATGTAGCTTAATGATTAGGATATTAATTAATCTTTGCTTAACTTACACATGGACTTGGAGAGTGGTATGAAATAACATTAATATCATCTCTTTTTATCTCAAAAACTGAGTAAAAGATGGATTATGAAGCTGGCTGATGCCTTATAATGAAATTTGAAATTTAAAAACTGATTTTTTTTTTCCATTTCATGTAAAATGTGTAAAGAATCCACCTGCAATGCAGGAGACCTGGTTTGATCCCTGGGTTGGGACGATCCCCTGGGGAAGGGACAGACTAAAGGGTTTCCCTTGTGACTCAGCTGGTAAAGAATCTGCCCGCAATGCAGGAGACCTGGGTTCAGTCCCTGTGTTGGGAAGATCCCCTGGAGAAGGGAAAGGCTACCTACCCCAGTATTCTGGCCTGGAGAATTCCATGGACTGTATAGTTCATGGGGTCGCAAAGAGTCAGACACTACTGAGAGACTTTCAAAATGTGTATTACAGTTCTACAGATACACATGCCAGTATAAAACTGGCACAAGCTTACCCTTGCTTTTCTTTTTTAGCAGTTAATTTGGTGATTTTAAAAGGGTTGTTTGTGTATGATTTATGTGAAAATTTTCCCTTTCCCCAGGTTCTCTGGTTAGACCTACAGTAAGCATCTTTGAAGTTTCCCTGCTTTATTTCTTGGCCTCACTGGTTATAAAGCTTGGTTACCAGGACTGAGTGGTCTCCTTCAGCTTTATATCACTGAATTTTTAAACAAGAGAATTACAGCATTTCTTGCATGTTTTATATTTTTATCTTTTTTTATTTATTTTTCATTTATTTTTATTAGTTAGAGGCTAATTACTTTACAATATTGTAGTGGTTTTTGTCGTACGTTGACATGAATCAGCCATGGATTTACATGTATTCCCCATCCCGGTCCCCCCTCCCACCTCCCTCTCCACCCGATCCCTCTGGGTCTTCCCAGTGCACCAGGCCCGAGCACTTGTCTCATGCACCCAACCTGGGCTGGTGATCTGTTTCACCCTAGATAATATACATGTTTCGATGCTGTTCTCTTGAAACATCCCACCCTCGCCTTCTCCCAGAGTCCACAAGTCTGTTCTATACATCTGAGTCTCTTTTTCTGTTTTGCATATAGGGTTATCGTTACCATCTTTCTAAATTCCATATATATGTGTTAGTATACTGTAATGGTCTTTATCTTTCTGGCTTACTTCGCTCTGTATAATGGGCTCCAGTTTCATCCATCTCATTAGAACTGATTCAAATGAAT